GGTCCGATCGGCAGTCCTAGCGCGTTTCCGCCGCCCCTCGCCCCCGCTCCGGCCACCGCGGCGTCCGGGAGGGCGGAGGAGGGCGCGGTGGCGGCGGTCTCCGAGACGGTGGTTCAGTTCCCGCTCCGGGCGTCGGCAGGCATGGCAGAGGCGTCGGCAGGCATGGCCGAGGGGGCGCTGCCGGGCTCGCCCTTGCGACGCTCGCCGCTGCCCAGCTCGCCGCCGCCGCGGGCCAGCTCGCCGCCGCCGTCGGCTGGCGGTGGCAGCGCGAAGCTCGGCGTCCCGCACGCGCTGCTGTCGGCGCTCCCTCCGCCGCTGCCGCCGAGAACCCCTCGGCGTGCGGAGGAGGAGGCGGGGCAGGGCGAGGAGGAGGAGGGCGGCGGCGGCGCAGAGGGGTGGCACCTCTCGGAGTCGAGCGGCTCGGCAAGCTCGCTCATCGCCCTCCTCAGCCCCTCCGTCGAGCCCGCGCTGCGCATGCTCGAGGAGAGCGAGCGCGACTTTGCGGAAGGGGGGGCGGAGCTGCTGCCGCCGCCCTCGCTGGCGGCCTCGCTCGGCTCAGCACCGGAGCCGCACCCGGCACCGACGGTGGCGTGAGCGCTGCCTGCAGCCGCGGGAGAGCTTGGGTATGGGGACGCGAGACGTCTTGCGCTCGGCAAGGTTTGCCTCGTCGTTGGTGTCGCCGGGCGTTTTGGGAGAGATTGTGAGAGCGCGTGCGCCCCGGCCCCCGCCACGGTGTGAGAGAGGTATTCCCCGCGCCCGCGGTTCCGGTGGCGGCGTGGCGCATGCATGGCGGCCATGGCAGGGTTACGTGAACGTGGCTGGGTCGACAGCGATAGTAGGAAAATTGGGGGAACACTTGACGGTCGCGGCCTTCCGACTCGCGCCTCCGCCTCACTGGCACTATTGTAGCCCTGGCCGGTGCGCGTGCGGAGTTGAAACTCCCGAGTAAAAATTCGAACGCGTTCTCTCACGGTGACCAAAAAATGTCCACCTCAGAGGCACCTCCGGAGGCAGGCCGCCGCACGCCGGCGACACAGCTCGCTGTCAACTGACCCGCAGCTCCTCTCAGAGCGGGAACTGTGACGAAAGTTGACTGAGGCGGTTGTCAGGAATCATCATACGGATCACATGGTGGCTCTCTCATGACGGGAGACCGCCCGACCACTCCTGGGTGGCACTGCCACCGGTGTCGCTCGACGTCCTGTCGACAGCGTGCCGACAGCGACACAGACCATGTGGGACGCGTCGAGTATCGACCTCTACTGGTTACCCAGCCTTCGAGTGTATCCTGGCTGTGGTCCCACACCCACTGGTGTCCATCTCAGAGACCGCAGGAGGTCATGAGGGTCGATGGGAGTGCCAACCCCACAATGCCTAAAGACCCAGCCCAGTACGGCTCCGTATCTCTGGCGCGCACCCGTTGGCGCGGTGGCACATGTAAAAGGCTAGTTCCAGTTCACTCTGACACGCTACCGTTATCTTGAACATACGTCCAACGGGGAGCGATCCGTGTTGCTTCCAGCGCACTCCGCCCCCGCGCTCGCCACCTGCGGGCTGCGGCCATGGCCAATGATCCTAGTATATGGGGAGCTACCTGGGTACCGCGAGAGCGACCCAACTCGTCGACATCGTCCGATGATGGTGCCTCAAAGTCAGCCTCGTGGGGTCGAGCCGGCAGTAGCCGCGACATGTGGTTCCACCACCCCTCGTAGGCTTTGCCTCTGCTCGCCACCGTTCCCAGGCTGCCTCGTAATGGGATGGAAAGGAAGGCTGGGCGAGCGCCATCAGTAGCAGGTCTGATCTGTCCCACACCGCACTTATCTTTATTCCTTGAGTCAACGAACTATAAACATGTGCATCTGCATGCACCGCGGCGTCGCCCACAAATAGTAAAGCACCGCCGTACAAATCTAGTAAAAGGAGCTCTGGCCGGGGGCACGCGATCCCACCGGATCATGTGATCTGGCGCCGGATGCGGATTCATGGGCGCAGCCCTCAACATGCAAAGGAAGCTCGATGGTGTAGTGCACAGGATTATCGCGTGAGGTCGGCGGCGACCGCGAAGCTCCAAAACGACTCCAGCGTCTCGGTGAGTGCCGGCGGGTGGTCGGCGAGTTCGTGTTGCGGCTCCGGGCCGCCTCTCGAGGGCAGCATACTGCAAACAGGGAGGTAGAACGCCGGGGCGGGGGAGTACTCCCTAGTCGTTTCGTACCTGCTCACAAGCCAGAGGTGAATAGACGCCGTTCACACCAGGACAAACTCCCCTGTCTTCTCCTACCTCGCGTGACAGTCTTCACGCGAGTAGAGCACGTCGTAGTGGTGTTCCTGTGCACACACCAGCGCGTGTGAAGAGGCGCTTCTCTGCCACAGCGGCGGGACACGTCCGGGTGGTCCTGCTTCCGGCCCGGTTTCTGCACCGGCTCGGGCACCGAAGTGATGAGCCGTAGTGCCGTCGAGAAGGAGTTTGCCATCTGGCAGCCTATTCACAGCAGGGAGCATCGGAAGACCTTGTTTGGGCCTTGTCTCCAAAGGCGTCCGCCATCGGGCCGCCCTGCAGCACGCGATTGCTCGAGGCGGAGGAGCCTACTATCGGAGATCCCTCCGGTATAATCTCGTGTAGGACTCGCACAGGCATCCTCGAGGCCGCGGGCCATTCTGTCGGCGAGGGAGAGCGGGAGAGCGGCGGACGCGCGAGCCGTCCACCGTGTGCAAGAGCAGCATCGGTCCGGCAAAGGGCCGCGTAAAGCGAGGCTCGTACAACAACCGCTGGACGCCCCGGGCCTGCCCTGCCGACGCCCATTCGCTCCCCTTGGCGGCACTTTTGAAAGCCGCCGCAGCGTCCGTCAGCCGGTGCACCCCAACCCGCACGCAGCTGCTCGGTCCCATCCGGGACTCGCGCAGGCACACTCGGAAGTCGGCGGCGTGCAACGCGCGCAGCGACTCGCGCAGCGGCCGCTGGTCGTCCGCCGTCTTGCCTAGCTTCAGCTCGTCGGACCAGAGCTTGAGCAGCGCCGTGAGCGGCCGCCCCTTGCGCACGAGCAGCGCAAAGTTGTGAGGCAGAAAGTCGGTGACCCGCCCCGGCCGAATCACCCCGTAGTAGTCATTATATCTCCGTATGGGCGCCGGCAGCTGTGACTCCTCCGCGAGCGGCGACGACTCGAAATTGACAGCAAAGTCGATCGCGGCGTTGCGATGCGCGGCGGCGAGGGCGCCGTGCAGCATGCTCGAGCAGATCTGCACCGTTGCGTCGAGCTCAAGTGTGAGCTCGAAGGGCGAGGCGGCGAGCGCCGCCACACGAGCCAAGTAGCTCTGGCGCCATCGCTGAGCGTACACCGTCGTGTTGGCGGCCACAATGAAGTCGAACGTGCTGCGCACCTCCCTTGACGCGGCGAGATCGGTGGCGAGTGCGGTTGGCAGGTCTGGGCACGCCGTGCGGACGCTCAGCACGCTGCTCTGCACCTGAGGCACCGAGCGGCGGCCGAGCTCACGCCGAGCTCAAGCCGAGATCACGCCCTGAATGCGTGCTCTGCACACCTCAGCGAGGTAGTGATCAACACGCTTGCCTGGGTGCTGCGGCGAGGCGAAGGACATCACCACGTAGAGCACCCCCACCGGTGCCGCGGCCGATCGCAGGTAGCGAGGGCTAACAGACGCCCGCACAAAGCCGTCGTAGTCGGCGCCTGAGGGGAGGCAAGACGAACTTTCAGACATTAAAGGCAGCCTTGACGTGGCCGTTTGTTCTTGTCATGCCGGCGTGTGCTACAAACAGCCCATATTCGCTCGCCCCTCCCTTCTTCGCTTTGCTGTGGCTCATCGTTCTGCATAGCTGTCGCCGTGCGCAGATCGACTGACTGCACGCTGCCTGCATCTAGGACGCAGCACCCGCCACGAATTTAACATGAAGAGGCGCAGCGCTGCTGTTGTCTGCACCTGCCGACGAGGAGGCTTTCAGCACAGCGGTATTCTTCACGTCGATGGTCCCCTCGTTGACCAGCCCCGTGGCGAGAGAGTGGGTCGAGCTCGTCACCTCCAGCTTCTCGTCGGCAGAGGCTGGCACTTGGTCGATGACGGCGTCGTCCTCGAAGGTCTTGACGACGTCACCGCTCGGGCCGTAAAGCTTCGCTTCGAGCTCGCGCTTCTGCGGGAGGCGGGAGAGGCGGGAGGCGGTGAGCAGACGCTGATCAGATGAGGTTTTGGCGGGACGCAGTGTGCAAGGCCTGTTGCCCGGCAGTCCCACCCCCGACGGCGAGGCCAAGCGCGACGAGAGCCGTGGCAAAGATCATCTTGTCCTCACCTGCAGTGGAACACAGAGGCGTGTGGCGACCACGGTGGCGACGGCGACCCGACGGCAACGGGGCGGCAGCCGGCAAGCGGGCAGTGTAAAAAGAGATGCAAGACGATCGTGTGGGGTGGAGTTGGTGTGGATTGGCGCTGTCGTGCGTGCGGGCGGGTGGAGTGTTGACGAGGGCGGAGCCTTCGATGTGGGACGCCTTTTGAGCAAAGATGAGTCGCCTCGAGCAAGGCCTAAGATGAGTCGCCGACCCCAAAAATTTTAATAAAACGCGATCGCCAAAAAGCTTCTGAGGCGCCGATAACCTCGTTCCTGGCAAGTGAGCCGCCCCTCCTCCTTTCGGCCGAGCCGCGCCGAAAGATGCTTTCCAGAAGAAAGCTTTGCAAGCCCTGGAGATAGGTTTTGTAATTCGAGCTGTGCCACAGCGTAGTGAAATGGAACTAGCCTTTAAACGACTGCGCAAAAAAATGGATTGGCGTTGCGGTTCCGGTTGGTTCACAACTCTTATCGACTCACAGGTATTGTCTGTGTTCACTCACGCTTACTGCATGAGCGACAGAGTGAGAGAGGAACAGTTCGTATTCATGTGCATGTGATCATGGGGTGACCATAGTCATGTGACAGTGCACCGCGCTGGCGGGCGCTCACCGCGCAAGGGCAAAAACTCTCGCGCCCCATCGGGCGACTCCGCGAGATTCGATGAGACTCACTCTAGCTCGGGCACGTCATCCTCTTGCACCGTGAAGGGCACCTCCTGCGCGAGCGCCACGCCAACCACCGTCGACGACGCCACGTGGACCCGCAGCGTGTAGTCGCCGGCCGGCGATGGCGCAGCGAAGCGGACGCGCGCGCGGACCTGCGCGGTGAGATTACCCGAGATTACCCGAGATTGCCCGGACGCACGCCCGGACCCGCGCGGTGGCGCGCGTGGAGGCGGGCAGGGGGTGGTGTGTCAGGGACGCATGCAACACACACGTGCACAAACATGTCGTGGGCACGGCGCCAGCGGGCGGGAGGCGGGCGGGCGGGGTGAAGGCGTGGCAGGGCCGCGGCGCGCGCGTACCGCCGCCGTCGCCGCCGACGTGACCACCAGAGCCTGGCAGTGCACCATCGGGTTGCGCTCGCCCTCCGGCCGCAAGCCCTCGACGACGAGCCAGTACACCTCGAGCGCCTTGCTCTGCGGCTCGCCCGCCGCCGGCTTCGGTGCGCCGACCGGCCTGCCGTTGACCGCGTCCTAGCAAGCAAGCAAGAACAGCAGTCCCGGGAGAAAGAAGAGAGCCCTGCGAACCTGCCTGGCGTTGAGGCGTCCTGCGCGTGCTCCCTCCGCAGCTCCGCCTCGAGCAGGGCTGGCTTGCCTACCGGACACGTCGAGGACACGTCGCGGGAAGGTCGCGGAGGGGTCGCGGACAGGTCAGGGGGGGGGGGGGAGAGAGAGAGAGAGAGAGAGAGAGAGAGAGAGAGAGAGAGAGAGAGAGAGAGAGAGAGAGAGAGAGAGAGAAAGAAAGAGAGAACTAGGGAGAGAGAGGGAGAGAGAGAGAGAGAGAGAGAGAGAGAGAGAGAGAGAGAGAGAGAGAGAGAGACGCGTCTTGCCTGCGTGGATCGCCAGTCGTGGTCCGTCGTCCGCCGGGTCGATGTCGCGCCCGGAAGCGTCGCCGCCCTCCTCAGCGGCACGGCACGTTGCGAGGAGCCGCAGCCGCGGGTACGCAAGCCTCGGAAGGCTCCGAGAAGGTTTTGGGGAGGAGCCCGCAACGGCCGGGTACGCTGGCCACCGGCGGCGAACGTGCGATCTCGGGCAGTCTCGTGTGATCTCGTGTGATCTCGTGTGATCTCGTGTGGTCTCGGTTGATCTCGGCTGATCTCGGCTGATGGCCACCCGTCGGCGGCGAGCATGGCGGCCATCCGCGCGCGGCAGGGAGGCGCGTCGCCGCTGTAGCAGCCATTGGAGAGGAGGGCCGCGGTCCGGAAGAAGGCGAGGGTCGGCTGCACCCACAGCGTCTGCGGCAGCGCCGCCTGCACCTTGGCCGCCACCCGCGTCGCCGCCGCGTGCAGCACGTCCGCCTAGCGCGGCACTTCCGAGAAGGTTCGCGGAGGGGCTGTCGTCGCGCCGCCGCCGGCAGCAGCGGCCGCAGGTGGCCTCGGAGGGGCGCAGCTTCTAGATCTCGGCTACATCTCGGCTAGATCTCGGCTAGATCTCGGCTAGATCTCGGCTAGATCTCGGCTAGATCTCGGCTAGATCTCGCCCGCTCGGGCAGGTCGCCTCGGAGAGAATACTTCGCCTGAGGGGGCGGGGCGGGCCCGCTCCTGCAGCTCGTCCTCGAGATACGGGGAGATATGGGGAGATATGTGAGCTGGCTCCTGCAGCTCGTCCTCGTGGCGCGACGGCTCCGTCGGCTGCTGCCGGACTAGTGGCAAGTGGCTTGGAGGCGACTGGGGGGGTGTCTCGGGTGTGGCTTGGGTGCGTCTCGGGCGTGTCTCGACTTGCCGTGGCGGGCTGTCAACAGGAGTGGCGTGTCTGGGACGTGTCTAGTCACTGCGCCGGTCGCCTCTTCGAGCTTCTGCTGGTAGAGCAGCCAGAGCAGGAGCAGGAGCGTGGCGCGGGCGGCGGGCGGCAGCGCCTCATGCGCATCGCGGTACAGCGCCGCGTCCTCCTCACTGCAGTGCTCCATCAGCGCCGCCTAGCAAAAGCTCAGAGGAGGACTCACGTTCGGGTGATCTCGGGTGATCTCGGGTGATCTCGGGTGATCTCGGGTGATCTTGGGTGATCTCGGGTGATCTTGGGTGATCTCGGGTGATCTCGGGTGATCTTGGGTGATCTCGGGTGATCTTGGGTGATCTCTGGTGATCTCTGGTGATCTCGGGTGATCTCGGGTCATCTCCAGCTCAGAGGAGGCCTCGAGCGGCTGCAGGTCGTCGGGCTCGGCCTCGCCGCCGATTGGGCTGCGGGGAGGCAGAGGATCCTTTCAAGAGAGTTCTGAGCAGGTGTGTCAGCGTGTCTCGTGGACTCGGATGTGCGGTGGAAGTGATCGCGCCTGAGGGACGGACAGCAAGACAGCGCGGCGAGCACCGCCACCGTGGGCACCGACGCGTCTGGGTCCGCCTCGTCCGGCTCGAGGCAGCCGAGCACGGTGTTCACGTCGCGGAGGCCTCGTTGCACCTTTTCGCGAGGGCAGGCGAACTTTGGTGGCGACGGCGTGGAAAAGCGACGCGGGGAAAAGGTGAACCGGCTTGTGGCCTCGGCGGTTGCACCTTTTGGTTCTGCGCTTTGATCGCGGCGCGCTTGTCCGCTGGTAGCGCGTCGATCTCACGCTGCCGCTGCTTGGGCGAGAGGGCGGCAAGGCGAGAGAACTCGGTCGCGAGCCAGTCGTCGTCTGCCATGTGTGGCTCTCAGGTATAGGACGAAAAGAATTTTTGGCCCCACTCGCGCGAGTGTGATGTGAGTGAGTGAGTAAGTATTCTTGATACGAAACCACGACGACACACACCAGTCGACTCGCATCGATCGATCGATCGATCGAGAGAGAGAGAGAGAGAGAGAGAGAGAGAGAGAGAGAGAGAGAGAGAGAGAGAGAGAGAGTTCTCTCTCTCTCTCTCTCTCTCAGAGAGAGAGAGAGAGAGAGAGAGAGAGAGAGAGAGAGAGAGAGAGAGAGAGAGAGAGAGAGAGAGAGAGAGAGAGAGAGAGAGAGAGAGAGAGAAGTACAAGGAGAAGTACAAGAGCCGTACACGACAACGTAAACGACAACGGGGGACCCAGAGCACAGTTTTGCTGAGCGTCGCGTTGGTCGTAGCCGCTAAGCAGTAAGGCTCTCTCTCAAAGCGCAGGCAACCCGTACTGTACTCTACTATGGTTGCGCAGCGGCCTTGCGCTCTCACACTGAAGTTCGCGTCGGAGCGGTCAGGCGCCCTGCCGCGTAATCGAGGCGGGCGGCGCCGGTGCTTGCGGCAGCGGCGACAGTGGCGCGACCGTGGCTTCTCCCGCCGCCGCCTCCGCCTCCGCCGCGCCGCCGCCCCCCTCCTCGATCGCCTCGGGCCTGCAGCAGCGTCCGACCGGCGGCTCGACACAAGGCCAGCAGAGGAGGCGCGCGAGGGGACTCGAGAGCAGCGCCCACAGCGCGACGACGAAAGCGAGGTACGCCACCTGCTCTACACAAGAATGGATATTCACTGTTGACTGGGCACCGCGTCGGCCCTCACGAGGTTTGGCCGCCGTCGAGGCGGCGCCGCAGCCGATGTGGCGGAGGAGGCAGGCCTAATCATATGAGGTGCAGCCAGACTTGATTCAGACGTAGCCGACGCGCCGGAGGAGGCCTGGCCGAGCCACACCAGAGGGGCTGCAGTCCCGGGGAGTGGTGCGGTGAAGCAAGAGGAATTAAATGGTGGCACTAACAAAACCGCAGTGGCAATCACGCCTGCCTGGGGGCTAAAGGGGGCGAGCGGGTGCAGTGGTGCAGTGGTGCAGCAGGATAAGAACAGCAACGAAACAACTGCGCAGTGCCAAGCTCAGTGATGGCGATACCAAGGATGACTAGATCACGATCGCTCGCCTGGCCGAGCCAGACGACGTGTCTAGGAAGTGTCTAGGAAGTGTCTAGGAGGTGTCTAGGAAGTGTCTAGGAAGTGTCTAGGAAGTGTCGCCTGGCCGAGCCAGACGACGGGGTTGAAGATGACGAGCGGGTGGAGCAGGTACGCATACATCGAGAGGCGGCCTAAGGTAAGGTAAGGTAAACTTCTCCACACACACGAGGTGGTGGGGCAAGGGGGGGCGACCCTCGCGTCTCCACGTCTAGACGACAGGAGCCCCACGGCATTCAAAGTGCAAGGCCCAATGCGCGTGGGTGAGCGGTGTGTGTGTGTGTGTGCCCGCGAGCGAGAGGCCGGCAACTTGCCGCCGCGGCAGCAGCGAGAGGAAGCCGAGTGTCATCAGCGTGCAGATCGGGTACGCGGCGATCTGGCCTAATGGGAAGGGTCCGAGACGGCTCCCAGAAGGCTCCGGGAAGGTGCGGGGTCGGGCCAGCGGCTCGAGCTGGCCCAGCAGCGCGGGCGGCGCACGACAGTAGACGCGCGCCTTCAGTGACGTAGAGTGAAGTTCGCTCACTCGCGGGTGCGTGGCAGTGTCCGCTGGCGGAGTGTCGGTTGTGAGTGTGTGTGTCTGTGTGCCGCTCCTGTGTGCCGTCATCGTCTGTCCAGCGTCCACCCATACCGCGCCGGTGCCCAGTCCGAGCCTGACTGCTCTTCACCTTCCCTCCATGTAGAGAGGAAGGCGATTCTGCGTCAGGCGAAACGCGAGCGCGTGCGAAAGGTGGCACGCCGAGCGTGTCAGTTCAGGGAGGCGAGTGCGCGTCTATCACGCCTTCAGCCCGCCCTCGGAGAAGCCCTCGCCGTACAAGCAAGCGACGCCGCGGAACTCGACCGCGCCGACGAGCGCCTAGTCACATACTCTGCGAATCTGGGCCCATCTGGGCTGATCTGGGCCGATCTGGGCTGATCTGGGCTGATCTGGGCTACTTGCGGTTGCTCTCGTCTCGGCGAGTCAGGGTTGCTCTCGCCTCGCGCGTCGCGGGAAGAAAGGCGAGGCCGCCGTAGACCAGCACCCACGCGAAGAGCGCGACCCGGAGTCGCACCTGGAAGAAGAGGGCTGTCGATCTGACACGCCGTGAGCTGCTGCCGCTGCTGCTGCTACCTCCGGTCGCTAGGACACCAAGGCCCCACGGTACACGGCGTCTCCACACGAGGCGAGTCACACACGTGCGGACATGTTGTGAAGCGCTGAGAGGCATGAAGGAGTGTGGTGCACAGAAGCAACGAGCGGGCCGCAATGGAACAGGCCCACCGAGCGGCGCAGCGCCTCGAGCCGCGCGCGCGGCAGGAGGTGCCCGGCGACGAAGAAGGGCCAGAACCCAAACACCGTGGACAGGGAGGAGCCCGAGGCGGATCCGGCGGCGGTGAAGGGTGCGGCCAGCGCGACCAGGGTGGCGGCGGCCAGTGGCCTATATTGATAGTTCTGAATGTGGCTTCCTCATTATTAAGTAGAGGCGAGGGTCGGGGCAGCGAGTGGCCAGCGGAGCAGCAGGAGCGCAGGGAGGGTGGCACGCCTGAGAGGAGGAAGCTTCCGAGAAGGGTCAGAGAAGGGTCAGAGAAGGGTCAGAGAAGGGTCAGAGAAGGGTCAGAGAAGGTATCGCAGGGTAGCAGTTTGCAGCAGCAGGAGGGCGGTGGCGCGCACCACGCAATCAGTGAGAGCAGGAACCAGGTGACCTGCCGGGCGGCGAGCAGGTTGATCGGCACGAGCGGCGCGTCCGCCATGCGCTCAATGACGGAGGTGAGGTTGTCGGGGATGGCCAGGTCATGCGTGTCGGAGATGCGGAGGGCAGCGACGGCGGAGAACTTTTCCACCAGCAGGTAGAGTGCGTTGAAGAGGGCGAGCACGACAAGCGACGTTAGCAGCCGTGCGGTGCGCGGCGCGGAGAGCCTTGGCGCCGAGAGGTGGCCCGAGATGAAGCTGAAGCCCGGCATCACGACGTGAACGAGGAGCGGCACGAGCACGTCGTCGATAGGAGCGATCGCACACTTCTCACCGCCGGGCGCCATCCCTCGCGCATGGGTGGCGATGACCAGGAAGATCAACACACCCTTTGTGTTGTCAAAGGCGTAGTCGCGACTGTCGGCGGCATCGGTGGCGAAGAAGCTGCGCCACTTGTATCGAGGCGCCTTTGGCGCCGGCTGGAGCAGCGTAATGGCGGCACGAGATTGAGGTTCCATGGGCGGCCGATGCAACGCCGCTGGCGGCCGGTCCGGTCGGGCACCGCCTCGATTCGCGGGGGACGCAGGGTGTGAACAGCGTACCGGCGGGGACCTGCAGGGCAGCGTGAGTGCGCTTCCGCAAGCTCAAGCCTTCGGATGTTGGCGGCGACGAGCATCGACACTTGCGCACTGGCATGAAGGCTCTGCTTGACGTGCTGCGGCAGCGCCCCGCCGCGGTGCTCTTGTTCAGCTTCGACTTCTATAGCGGCACCGACTTGGGCTTTTCAGACTATTATCGCGGGGTCAGCACGCCTCTATCGTCATTCCACTCTACACGGGATGAGCTGCTACTCTTCCGCCGTCTGCTGAGGCAGCATCGCAACACTCTATTCATCCACAGCAAGCTGGCTCGAGTGTGCTCGAACAGCACTTTGGCCGTGCAACGTGTTCGTTGTCGCCTTTCAGCTTTCTCGCTCTTTGGTTTCTTTTCTTTCCTTGTACGTAAAATTCTTTTCTTTGATTCTGTTTCTGATGTCAAACCAAGGAGTCTTGGGAAGCACGGCGCGATAGTACTTTTGTTATTCCCGTCTCGAAACTCTTTTTACTACCAATTTTCGCGCCTTTCGTACGTACGTTCTCTGCTCAAGCACTGTCGGCGTAGCGAAGGCGCACCCCATGATGGCGCAGCCTCGCAGCTGATGGGCAAACGTGCGGTCAGATGGCCCTTCCAGTCACATAGCATCTCCCAAAATCGATTGGCATTGGCGTCTCCACTGCAACTCCACTGCAACTCCACTGCAACTGCACGGTCGCCGCAACGCTACGGCAGGCACACACAAACACCTTCTCGCGTGGTCCCGCCGGCAAAGGTGGAGCACCAGCACTGACTTACCATGCCTGTGGGTGCAAGAACAGGTGGTGACGCGCTCAGCCATCAGTGCATGGCGCGTGCTGGGCCGCAGCAGCGGGCATGTCACGCTCCGGCTCGGTGCGAGGGGCCCGTGTCCGTGTGGTGTGTGCGCTCGCCGCTCGGCCCCTCGAAGGCGACTGCGGGCACTCTTCTTCTCCATGGGCTGTGTGTGATGCCGTGAGGTGCAGAGGTACCAACCTGCCCGAGCGCGCGACGCGCATCCCACGGGCGACCGTGGCGAGCGCGCCGCATCCGGTGCCACACGGCGCTGCCAGGGCGGCCGACACCCGCACACCCCCCAACTCCCAACGGCCTCGCTCACCCCACGAGACGGCGCGCCAAGGCGCGTCGCCGCCCCGAAATTGGCCCGTGGTTGCAGGCACCAAGCCGCGCACAAGACCGGGCCGCCACCGACCCCCGCTGGCGGGCGACGCGCCCGGGCGTGCGCGGCTGCGAGCACAATTAGGGCGCCGTCTGCGGATGCGACGACTGGGAGGGGCGTCAGGCGCCAAGATGCAGCCGGGAGGCCCAGTGTGGGGCGGCGCGCGCACCGGCGCGACGCGCATCTCACGGGCGACCGTGGCGAGCGCGCCGCATCCGGTGCCACACGGCGCTGCCAGGGCGGCCGACACCCGCACACCCCCCAACTCCCAACGGCCTCGCTCACCCCACGAGACGGCGCGCCGAGGCGCGTCGCCGCCCCGAAATTGGCCCGTGGTTGCAGGCACCAAGCCGCGCAAAAGACCGGGCCGCCACCGACCCCCGCTGGCGGGCGACGCGCCCGGGCGTGCGCGGCTGCGAGCACAATTAGGGCGCCGTCTGCGGATGCGACGGCTGGGACGGGCGTCAGGCGCCAAGATGCAGCCGGGAGGCCCGGTGTGGGGCGGCGCGCGCACCGGCGCGACGCGCATCCCACGGGCGACCGTGGCGAGCGCGCCGCATCCGGTGCCACACGGCGCTGCCAGGGCGGCCTCGTTCCAGGGCCAGAACACAAACCCCCCCCCCCCCCCCACGTGTGCACAGATACGGCTGCGCTCTTACGCAACATTTTGCTTCAGCACCCATCATTCAACAGACAACATACACAAAGACGAGATCCAACCAGACATGCAACCAGAGAGATGCCGCCACCAGACAGAGAGCGCGAGGGCAGCCGGACAGTGCAACCAGACATGCAACACCAGACACGAGACACGCCCACAAACTCGACTGCCTTTTATGTCCTTTCAACGCATTTCACGTGCAGTATACGTGTACTCAGCACCACTACTAATCCTAAGCACTATAATTAGTCGCAACGTTTCCATGCACACTGGGCAAATCGGCCGATTTCCAACCCACTAAATCATCACGGCCCCGTAACACCCTCCGCGCGCGGTCAAAGGCTTCCCAGGGCCGGTCCATGACATGAACCGATAGACACAAGCAAAAAAAACCGCACCTCTAAGCTTCTCGGGCACCCCGAGGCCCATACGGCGCCCCGGAGGGCCTAATAACGTATATTGGTTGTGCGCGTGTTTTGAAATTTCGGCAAAAGAAGTGCAAAGAGGGCTGTCATGCAGCTAGCCATTGGTTTTATGAGACGGCATGAAGGTATGACCAATCCCGCTGTCAAAATCTGTTCTCCGAAGGATGGACATGTAGCGATGAGACATGGTGCAAAAAACATTTCACGACAACACTGCTCTCTCTCTCTCACAACACTAGGGTCGAGGCACGGGACTGGCGCGCACTGACTGACACGAACACAGGTACACCACGGGAGCCGCCTACCCTAAGCGACTCCCGCAAAAGAATCGTGAAAAGAATTTCGCAACGCGCCCTGCTTGCGTCAACCCTTATATGTGCACGAAAAAAATCACAAAATCACACGAAGTACGGTACACCGTGTACGTACACGTAGCCTAGTCATGATCACTCTCTTCTGCGTCTGAAGTGTCCTCAGGCTCTAGCTCCGCCTCATGTTCCTCGCCCTCCCACACACTCTCACTGCCTTCGTCCCCGCTTTCCCACTCGTTGTCTTCATCATCGGTTTCCTCGTCCGATGCATCATCGATCATCGCAATCAGGCTGGGAGAGGCTGCCTGTGATGGAAGGCCGGAGAAGTCAAGGCCCGCGTCCTCCTCCTCGCTCTCCTCCGCTGCGATAGAGCTCGAGGCGGCCGCTGCGCTAGACGGGCCAGCCGTGGCTGGTGCGCGGGGCGATGCAGCAGCCGAAAAGGAAGCGCTCAAAGCATCCTGCTGCAGCCTCTTGATGCGCTCACAGCACTCACTGAGCTGTTCGAACAGCTCGTCCAGCGCCCCCGTGTTCACCTCGTGGTCAATGGAAGCAACAGTGGTGTTCTGTTGCGCCCGTATGATGCGCGTCTCGATGTTGGTCTTCAGCCTGCGCGCCAGGAGCAGCTGGTTGGTCACAGCGTCCTTGGCAGCCTCAGAAGAGCCGCCACCGCCGCCACCGCCGCCACCGCCGCCACTGTCCCCGCCGTCGCCACTGCCTCCCCCGCCACCTCCGCCGCCGCCGCCGCCGCCGCCGCCGCCGCCGCCGCCGCCATCTCCTCCGCTGCCACCGCCCCCGCCACCGCCTCCGCCGCCACCGCCGGCATCGACCAGTCGGGACCAGTCAAAGGCGCTGCCCTGCGCATGCAGCTCGGAGAGCAGCTCGTCGACTGCAACCTCCTCCGGCCTCTGCCTCTTGCGCGCGCGAAAGAAGCTCTTCACCGCCTTGAGCTCCTGGTTGTCGCCGCTGCTGAGGTTGGAGTCCTTGCTCCCTAGGCGTGACGGCAGGGCGCTCCGGTACTCTCCCCACTGTCCTGGTGTGGCAAACCCCTTGTCCTGCACATTGGGACGGCCGCGGGCCCTTGGCATGTGGGCGGCAGCTGCTCGCTTCTCGTCGTCGACAAAGAGGGGGCTCGCGTGCTTATACAAGTCGCTGAACCGACGGCTCTCCGCCTTTGCCGCCTCGAAATCGGCGTTGGCCGCCGCGACATCGCCGTCACCGCTGCGTGCAGCACGGCGAGCCGCGGCCTCTGCGTGCTTGACGCTCCACGAGTGATTCTGCTCGACGCCGGTCGCATTGGCCACCTTGATCTTGCGGCCTCCCGCCGCGTCTGGGGTGGCGGCGGGGTTGCTCGGGTGGAAGAGGAAGAGCTTGAGCGGCTGCGGGTCGCCGCGCGCAGCAGCCGGCTGTTGCGTGAACTCCCACTTGTTGAACCTCTCCGTCGGCTGTGCGCGGAACCACTCGGCGGTCCTGCGTGGCCGACCGCTGCTCGTGCGCGAGACGCTGAGGCCCGAGATGTGGACGCGGGGAGCCTTCCTGTGCGCCTTGGCGGCAGCCTCCTTCAGGCTGATGGCCTCGGCGATGACGCACCCTCCAGCAGTGCCGAGGGCCGCTAGCAACCGCTCGCGAGAGTTCACGTCGGCGATGGTTGGTACTGTGTCGCCGATGCGCACGATGAGCGCGTCTTGAGGCAGCAACGAGCGCGCCTGGCCAGCGAGAGCGACGCCGTCGGGCCAGTGAACGCGGAGGAGAACTGCACCATCGTCAGGCTGGTCGCTCTGGAGGCTCACGAGCTGCATGCCAGCTAGTTCTACGCGTAGGGCGGCAGCAGCGGCGGGCGACACCCTCACAATGGTCGGCGCTCCCCACGGGACGCGGCAATAGCCAAGAGCCTCGCGCGCCGGCCCTCGCGCGGCACGGAGCTCCCCGCTGCAGACCGCTCGGCCGTCACCGCCCGCACCAGTGTCGACCACCTGGCCGAACGAAAGGCCAATGAGCCTGGCTCCAAAGCGTGCCTTCGCGGCGGCTGACACGCCGCTCAGCTCTTGGTAGCTGGTGAGGCGAGCAGTGTCGATGAGATGCAGCGGCCCGCCCGCAACGTCGAGGTAGTAGAAGACCTTGGCTGCGAGCACCTCCCTCGAGGGCGAGTCAAGCTGCAGCCGCTGCGAGCGCATCATCTGCCCTAGCTCTCCTGCCTCCCCCGACCGAGGTGTGCGCCACGGGTCGGTCGTGCTGAAACAGCGCCACATCAGCCGCGACACCTCGTACACCTGCAGTCGCAGCCCGCCGCCACGCGTGCTTGCACTCGCACGGCCGAGCTTCCGCGACCACG